TAATTGATTACGTATATATTATACATAATTTCAGTATATTTTATACATTTTTTACGAATATTAAAATGTATTATTACCGTATACAATTCCGTATATAAATTTCTTATAGGGCAGTAAGATCGAAATAAAGCATTTGTAATACGATTGGTGAAACTTTACTAATATAAGAATACTAAAAAACAAGAATATTGATGAGAATAATAAAATATATTTTAATAATAGAGTATTATTTGCATTATTATATTATTATTACCTTATTTAGCACATTCTTTTGCATTTGTCATATAAAATAATAAGGTAATTTTTTGTGAATTCTAGCTAATATACATACTTTCAGAGTTTCATTTTCTTCATCATTAAACATTTTATTTTCTGAAATTTTCCATATGAAATTAATGGTTCCTAAATAATTGTCTTGATGATATCTAAAAATAACGTTTAATATTAGATATGTGAATTTTATTAAAAAATTTGGTTATATAATACATAAGTTGCAATTCTTTTATGTATCGATATCTTTTTATAATATTAATTAGAAGATATAGCTGAATATTAATATAGTCATACAATGGTTTGTCAAGTAAGATATCATTCAATTGGATAAAATTTTTATAAAGATTATTACAAGTAGCAATTCAATATATAGTACTGTTTTCAGGATTGCAAGCATTTTCATCACTATGATAAAGCTTAATTATACTAGCAGTAGTTATAACTAAATACTCTGAATATTTTCTTAGAATTCCAATTAAAGAAAATATTGAAGGCATTACTTGATTCTATAAATTATTACATGCCTATGGTTGATTAATAGATAATTTAAGAGAATTTGAAAGTTGAGAAAGTTTTTGTTGTAATAATAGATTTTTTTTATGATAACTAGTATGATAAATTGATTGTATAATCTGTCTTTCTGATAAGTTTCAGTTGTATAAAAAGAACTGGTAGATGGTATGAATGTGTTCATAATGTAAAAAGATGTGAATCGATATACTAAAGAGTATCTGTGAGATGAGTCACAAATTTCTTACCAATTGTATCATGTAAACTATCTGTTTAATCAACTTTTTAGATTCGAAAATTCTCAATAATTTCATTGTAAAGTTGATCAATATTATTATATTTAGTATGACATTAGGGAAGTAAAGGTTTACTGGAATTTTTCATTAAAATACCAAAAGCATTGGGTCAGTTTTGGGTTAGAACTGGTATATTTGAATTTGTATTGATAACTAGACAAAATTTAACTTATAAAAAGCCTAAAATATCTAACATTTTTAAGTCACCACTTAATCCATTGTCAACTTCTCGCCAACTTTCAGACTTTTCTTGTCTAATAAAACTTGAACCTCTCTATTATCATATTGTCCTAATATTATTATGCCAAAAAGGTCATAAAACTGAGTATCTGTAGATTCTATACTTATTACACGTTCGTTCAGGAATAATACATTTGATACTTTCACTAACTTGAACTAAAGATAAAGTATATAAAGCATATTTCACAAACTGTGAAAATAAATCTACCAAAAGTTGCTGATCAAAAGCAACCCCTTCATTTATATAAAAAATTGTGAAAATATATTCAAATCTTGCAAATCTTTACATAATTCATAAAAATTACAGATGCTTAATTTCAACTTTTCTATTTAAACAAATCACATGAGATCGATCATTATTTTTTTTCTTTTCTTGAAAAAAAAAAGAATTTTTATTAATTTTGGCTTTGATACCAAAATTCTATTTAAAGTTTAAAAGGTGAGATAAATTTAAAGGTGAGATAAAATTTAAAAGTAAGATAAAGTTTAAAAGGTGAGATAAATTTAAAGAAGAGATAAAATTTAAAATTTAAAATGTAAAATAAAACTTAAAAGGTGAGAAATTTTAAAAGGTGAGAAATTTAAAGATGAAAAAAATTTTTTTTTTATACATAAAATACAAAAATAAATCAAATATTTTTTTACATTTTTATGAGATGAATATATTAAAATATTACATGATAAAATACTGCAATTCTATTGGCTATACATAATGTATAATATTTGTGCTAAATTTGTAAAAACAGAAAAGGAGGGTTATGTTAAACAAAGAATCAGCTTGGTCTGGTCTAAGTAAGGAATTTACGTATTTAATTATATGTAATATGAATGTTATCTTTAAAAAATTAAATAGTATTTGAGATCTAATTTTATTAGAATTGTGTTTATCAGCTTTAACTACTTATTTAATATTAGCATTATATATAATAATCTTATTTTTATTTTGTATAATTCAAATAAGCCAAATATTTTTCTGTAACTTCTAATTTTCATAATTTGTAATAATAATTTTATTATTTTACATTTTTTATATAAATCAGACTTTGAAGTATAAATTAAATTAATGATATTATTCCTTAGATTGTAGGGTATTGCAAGCAAATTTACTTATTTATTTATTATAAATTCTCCTTTAATTTATTTTTATAAATAATTAATATTTTTAAAAAAATTTTTTTTAAATAATTTTATAAATATATAATATATTATAACAAATATTATCTATTAATTATATAATAAAAAATTTAATGTTTACTTAGAAGTTAAAATTTGTAATTTTAAAAAAAAATTATATTAAAAAATTTTATAATTAATCTAAGATAAACTTTTTAGAAATTACTTTTAACTATATTAATAATAATAGAATATTATAAAATTACTTATAAAAAAACTTTTATTATTATAATTTTTATAATTTATTAAGAAATTTTATGACTTTAATTATAATAAAGCAATTTCAATTAATATGTAAAATATAAATTTTTAAAATAAAATTTTGAACCTAAATTTTAAAATTAAATTATTTTAAAATTCTTTAAAAAACTTAAAATCTTTATTAATAAATTTGATAAAATATATCTATCTTAAAAAGTATTAAAACTATTTAAAAGTCACTTCTGATTTGCTTATCTTAATTCCCAAAATAAGAATTTTCTAAAAAATAAGAAAAAAAAATAAAAATGCTACAAATATTACTTTCAATTCACTTACCTTAATTTCAAAATAAGAATTTTCTAAAAAAACAAGAAATATATTTTAAACTATATTTTTTATATAGTAATAATATTACTAAAATTAATATTTAAAATTTTATAAAGAAATTAACATTTTTTAATTTCATAGGCAAATTTGCCTGCTAAACAATTTAAGGAATAACTTTTCAAATATTACAAAAGTTGATTTAGTTAAAATATACAGTATTTCTCTATTCTATACTCATTCTTATAAACTTATATATAATCACAATATATTAATGCATAACTATAAAGTATAGATATTTTATTAAAATTCTGTCCAGATAAAGATAAATCATATAATTTTAAAACTTATAAATTTTACAAACTAAATTGTAATTTACTTTAACATGTTGCATATTTTTTAAAGCTCTACCTATATTACTATGTATATATTTTTCAAGATCATATTCTCAAAAATGATTTATCATATTATCTAAATATGTATGACTTATGTTAATAAGATTCTGATATATAATATGACAAATTAGAATTCTATTATTAAAAAATATTCAAAAAGTAAAAATTTTCTATTATTAACAATCACTTTTTTTGTATATTTATCTTATTGAAAGGCTATAAATTATTCTTTAATAATAAAGTCTTACATATTCTTATCTAAACAATTAAATTCTATCTAACATGTAAGAAATCATTTATAACTAATCTTTTCAAAATAATTAGAATTATATGAGTAAAGATGGATACCATAATTAAGAAGTTACAATTTGGTAAGTTGCAACTTGAGTTGCAACTTGGTTGCAACTCCTTGTAAATTTATTTTAATATAAAATTTTATAAATAGTTGCAACTCAAAGTGTTGCAACTTAAGTTGCAACTAGTTAAAAATTTTAAAAATAATTATAGAAACCATCTTTATATATGAGTATTTTCTGCTTTTAAAAATTCTTTTACTTTTAATTTTAAAATTATCATAAATATTATCTTTAATAAAATTATCAGAATTCTTCACAAATTTAAAGTTACTTAGATATATTTCATTATAATTTTTTTCAAAAACTTCAATATCATCAAAATTAGAAATAACTTTATTATCTGAATTATCTAATACATTTTTTTTATCATCAGAATTTAAATTTTTAATAAAAAGTGTATTATTTAACTCTTTTAAAGTTTACAAAATATTTTTATTTATACTATTATTATTAAAATGAATGCTGTATTCTATATAATTTAATAAGAAATTAAGTTTTTCTATTTATAATATAGGAGGTGGTCAGTAGAAAGGGGGAAATCCAAAATTTTTTGTTAATTTTTATTATTAAGCCAAATTTATGCATATGATCGAAATTAGCCAAGTGGTCTAATAATATAAATTTTGACCAAAATTTAAATTTCCCCCTTTTCTACTGACCACCTCCTATATATTAGTAAAAAATTATGTAATTTTACATATTTTTTATCTTCTTTTATTTAAAAAAATGATGTATTTTTATTAAATATTTCTGAATGGTTAGACTAATAAGCATATGTAAAGTAATTAGTAAAAAAGGAAAAATCCAAATTTTAGTCAAAATTTATATTATTATACTACTTGATTGATCTCAGTTATATATACAAAATTAGCTTAATAATTAAAATTAACAAAAATTTTGGATTTTCCCTTTTCTACTACTGATCACCTTTTATATGATGATTACAAAATAACAACCCTAACACAGTAATAGCATTTGGTCATGGTCAAGGCTAATTTTTTGGCCATTGGCCAATTTGGCCAATTGGCCAAAATAATCAGCCAAGATCTGCAACCAAAATCCAATTGGCATTTGGCCGCGACCAATAGCCGTTTTGGCCATTTTGGTCATGTCCAAATCGGCCAAATATCAAAGGTCACATGATTTTGCCAATTTTTTTGGCTTGAATATTCAATATATTGTATTTATTCAATAATTGATACCTCTGACGTTTGAAACGGTCAATTAACCAATCAAATTAAACGAAATAAAATATTTAAAAAAAATATTTTTTTGTCTATTTTTTTTTAAAACATCTTTAATTTCACCATCTAATCGAGCTATCACTAGGGTTAGAGGTCAGGTTCGATTCCTGAGTTATTTGACGATATGGATATCAAAGTCATCTGGTTGATGTGATCTATATGCACAACTGGAGATCACCGTTTGGGCAAATCTTGTAGTACTATCTCATGAACCCTGCGGCTCTCTATATAGTAGTGATAAAGCCAAACTAAGTAATTGGAGCTTGGCTATAGTTCACTAGACCGTT